CTCTGGGGCCGTGGGGCATGGGGCTGGCCTGCGCTGAGCTCTGGGGCTGTGGGGCATGGGGCTGGCCTGCGCTGAGCTCTGGGGCTGTGGGGCAGTAGCGGGGCATGGGGACGGCCTGCGCTGAGCTCTGGGGCAGTGGGGCATGGGGCTGGCCTACGCTGAGCTCGGGCCGTGGGGCAGTAGTGGGACATGGGGACGGCCTGCGCTGAGCTCTGGGGCCGTGGGGCAGTAGCGGGACATGGGGCTGGCCTGCGCTGAGCTCTGGGGCCGTGGGGCATGGGGCTGGCCTGCGCTGAGCTCTGGGGCAGTGGGGCATGGGGCTGGCCTACGCTGAGCTTGGGCCGTGGGGCAGTAGTGGGACATGGGGACGGCCTGTGCTGAGCTCTGGGGCCATGGGGCAGTCGCGGGGCATGGAGACGGCCTGCGCTGAGCTCTGGGGCCAGGAGGAAATCGTATTCAAGTTCAGCGTCCCTTGTGTGAATGGCTCTGGTTTTTGCTACTGTTGCATAAGGTGACCCTTTGCCTCTTGGTTACAGGGGATGCAGAGCTGAAAGGCTCTGGCTTTTCCCACCCTGGAGGGGTGGATGACCTTATGGAAGATGAGCTGGGTGCCAAGAAGTCTGCTGGCCGGACAGTGTCCATAGAGACGGCCAGCCTGGATATTTATGCCAAGTATGTCCTGAGGAGTATCTGTCAGCAGGTAAATCTGGCTCTTGCGCCCCACCCTGTCCCTGATCCTGGCTGCTGACAGGGCTCTCCCTCTGCCTATTCAGGTTTGGTGGATGTTCTCTTCTGCTGTTTCAAAGAAACTGGGCACAGTTTTGCCACGTGGTGGTGCTAAGAATTAAAAGTTGCTGAACAGAGCTGACTGGTAGTCTGGTTTCGGAGAGCTCAGACGCTGTGTATTCTGTAGGGCTCTGGTGCCACCACTGTGCCCCTTCCCCAGGGTGAGATGGCAGTCAGTAGCCCCCTATGCATGGGCTGGGGGCAGAGAGGAGGGAGCATGAGAAGGAGGGGTACTTGAAGTGATATAAGGTGGCTCTTGCATGTCAGGTTGGGGCATTCCTGGCAGCTCGGCCAGTTCTATAGCTGGGCTTGCTCACCTGCAGCCTGTGTTTTTGTGATTTTCAGGGAGAGCCACTCACTTTTTACGTGCCCTTTTCAGGGTTGTCCTGGCTCTCAAGTCTAATAGGGTCCTGGGCACCATCCAGGCAGTGCCCAAGTCCTGTGCTGCCCTTCTTTCCCCTGCCCGTCTGACAGCCTCTTGAACCCTTCCCTTCTCCACTGCTCTCACCACTTTCTAAGATCCACAAGAAGTGAGTAGGTTAGGAGATGCTCTGGCTAGCAGGGGCCTTGATAGGTGGGTGTAGCAGCGGAGGCTTACCCCAAGTCAAGTAGATGAGCAGCACATTTTTAATATGCATGAATTTACAAACTACTTGACTGATTTCATTATTGGTGGGAAATTCTGCTTTCTTCTTGGAGTGCTTGCACATGTCGATTCCATCCAGGTGTGTGTGCGCCCACGTGCACAGTCGTCGGAGATTTTTGCCTTAGTAGTATCCATGGGGCAGGCTGTGGCGCCCCCTGGAGTGCCGCCCTCATGCCGCAGTATATCAGGCACTGCTGGCCCTACGCCCTCTCAGTTCCTTCTTACCGCCCATGGCGGTTGGCTGGAGTGCCTGGTCTTGCTTAGCAAGAGCATTAGCGGTTCTTCCCTGTTGAGGTTGTTCTCCTTTGTTATTTAGTCAGTGATTAGTTAGCTGTTAAGTGTTTTAGTAGCAGTTAGAGTCCTGGCTGGTGGGGCATGCCCCCCTCCCCAGGCTTCAAGCTGTGTTCTGAGTGCAGCCGGCCGATGCCCGTCAGTGACCCTCACGAGAGTTGTCTGAAGTGCCTGGGGGAGTCCCATCAAAAAGACAAGTGCCAGATCTGCAAAAACTTTCATCCCCGAACTCATAAAGAGCGGGACATTCGACTGAGGGTCCTCCTCATGCTCTGCGCCCAGCATCGGAGCCCTCGCACTCAGACTCCACACCCGGTACTTCGGCGTCAGCATGCAGTGCACCGCTGGCACTGGGATCCGCCCGGCACCGTTCCCCCTCACCAGTAACGAAGAAGCAGTCCAAGTCGACTGGTCTGCAGGCACCGTGCAAGGGAACTTAGGGCAAAGGACCTGAGTTAGGGCTCGTGCCTCCAATGGAGGCTCTCGGGGGTACCGCTGTGGACCTGCCTCGGACTCCGGGGAGCAGTAAGGGGTCCCAGCCCATCGCAGGGCCATCTGCGTCCCTGGTGGCCAAAGAACAGTTAGGCTGACCAGCACCACACACACCTGGCCACATGGCGGATCCCGCCAAGACACTGGCTTAGACGACCCAGCTGGTGATGGGATGGCCCCCGGACCGCAGGTGTCATTCCCCTTCGCCATGGCCAAGGACCCTGGTACTGCAACCTCGGTCTCCAGCCAGGAGGCCCAGCTCTCTGACGCCATGGTCTCCGCTTACAAGGCACGGAACTCCGGAATCACGACGCTGATCCCCGTATTCTCTGTACCGACGGTCCTCCCACCAGAGATCACCAACGTGCCAGTTGCCATTGCCTCGCAGGTATTCCATGCATCGGTCCCTTCCAGGTCATGGCACCGATCACCGGGGCCCCGGTACCGTTCTTTGGGCAGGCACCAGCCCCTTGGCTTCCTTGTAACGGTCACCGACGAGAGTCAATCGACAGACTCAGGCTTCCACAGCCCCACCTTGGTCACCAGAAGGGCAGTGGTCTGGGTCGGAGGGACAGTTCAGCTCTTCCCCTGTACAGGGCGAATCGTCTCCCAGCCAGGAACCCGTCAAGGCGCCTGCGGCACCGGCATGGGATCAAGGGCAATGGCTCACCCAGTGGTAATACTGGAACCCACGGTGGGTGCCTGTAATGCCGGCACCATACTCTCACCGCTCCTCCCAGGCTGCATCAGACAAGCTACCTCCAGCACAGCCGGCACCGGTGTTGGATCAAGGGGCTGAATCCGAAGCAGTGACTCCGCTGGAGGCCCCGGCGGCTGCAGAGTGGTCCCAGACGCAGCAAGGGGACGCTCCCCACCCTCTGGCGGTGCAGTCATCCTCGTCATCCCCGGACGAGTCAGTGGCGGGGGAAACTCGCAAACTGGTAGATTCCCCCCGCTCCCTCACCTGATGACTTCAGGGAGCACCAAGCCCTACTTAAGAGTGGCAGCCAACCTGAACTTGGAGGTTGAGGAGCTAGCTGAGGAGCCCGATGATCTCTTGACTGTCGTTCCCTCCTCTGCCCCAGCCCAGGTCGCATTGCCCGTTCACTCCGGGGTCCTAAAGATCGCCAAGTTGGTGTGGCAGACCCCATCTTCCATTCTGCCCACGTCCAAGAAGGTGGAAAAGAAGTACTATGTCCCCACAAAGGGGTTTGAATAGCTATACATGCACCCTCCTGCGGGGTCCCTGGTCGTGTCCGCTGTCAACGAAAGGGCCAGGCGAGTGGCACCCCCAAAATAAAGATGCCATGAGGCTGGACTTATTTGGGAGAAAGATTTATTCAACAGCGAGCCTCCAATTCAGGGTTTCTAACCATCAGGCCCTACTTGGCAGATACAATTTCAACCTGTGGGACTCCATCGGCAGGTTCAAAGAGAGCCTCCCACAGGATCGGGCACAGGAGTTCGCCACTCAGGTGGAAGAGGGCAAGGCAGTAGCCAGAGGTGTCCCCCACATAGCCGAGATGCCACGGACTTGGTGTCACCTCTGCAATAGCCATGAGGTGTAGCTCCTGGTTACAGACCTCCGGGCTGTCCCAGGAGATGCAATCCACCCTCCAGAACCTCCCTTTCGAGGGAACAGAGCTATTCTCAGAGCTAACTGATGCAAGGCTCCATGGCCTTAAAGACTCCCAGGCCACTCTCTGCTCCTTGGGCCTGCATACTCCTCAACAGGCTAGAAAGCCGTTCCTCCCCCCCGCCATCATCGAGGTCTTGGGGTACCCCTCGATCTGGTGCCTATCAAAAAAAGGACAAGGACAGGGGTTTTAAGCGAAGCCACCTGTCGTCGTCTCGTCCACCTGCCCATCCTGGTCCTTCCAGATACCAAGGCAGCCAAAAGCAGTCATTTTGAGGGTGCACCCGAGGCGGACACCTCAGTGAATGCACCGAATCCACTCCCCATCTTCCTCAATCACCTCCGCCCTTTCCGGTCAGCCTGGTCCCTTATCCCCTCGGACCGCTGGGAGCTCGACACAGTCTCGTCTGGCTATACTCTGTAGTTTATAGCCTACCAACCCTTCCATCCCCTTTCCCCGTCCCTCTTCAGGACCCTTCTCATGAGCAACTCCTCGTTCAGGAGGTCAAAAACCTCCTGCATCTAGGGGTAGTGGAAATACAGGCCTTCATGGTGGGCCCTCTATGTACCTTAAGGACAGTGTCATCCTTAGGCTTCTCCCAAGTTTCAGACTTCCACCTCAACTAGTCAGGTCATCTCCTGTTTTCTTCCTAAAACTTAACTCCAGCTCAGACAAAATAAAAGTGTACACCTTATATGTGGTGAAAGCCTTATCCTTCTATAGAGTTAGGGCAAAGCATTCACATCCACCCCCAGTCTGTTTGTGGCTTTCCCAAAAAGGGTTTCCACTCAGATTATCTAGCTGGGTTTTGGACTGTTTTAAGGCTTTGGTATCAGATAGCTGACAAGATCCTCAGGGTCATGTTAGAGCCTATTCCATGAGGGCTCACGCTGCCTCCACAATGTCTCTAGGTAACATCCCATTATTTGAAATAGTTAGAGCAGCTTCCTGGAGCTTCGTTCACACTTTCACCTTCCATTTTGTCCTGGTTCAGGCTTCCAGATCAGATGCCAGCTTTGGTAGGGCTAGCCTGCCATACCTTTTTAAGTAGGACTCTTCTTCCCACCTTCAGGTTAAAGATCACTGCTTGTTAATCACGAAGAGTGGAATCTGTTGCACAGTCACTCGAAGAACAGTTACTTATCCTACAGTAAGGGTGGTTCTTTGAGATATGTTGTCCACACAGGCTCCATGATCTGGCCCTCCACCCTCACTAATGGGAGACCGGTTCTCTTGGAATTCTTATTGGCGAAGAAATGGGGGGGCAGTTGAGGCTCTCCATCCTTTAAGACCCCCATGTCTGTGGTTGTGAGGATACATGAAGCAGGGGTGCTGCCATAGTGGATGCTGTCAGGAACTCTGCTGCCTCAGGCTCGGTTGCCTAGCAACCCCATAAGCTTGGCTGCGCCTAATAAACCCTCACTAAGTGGCTGTGTTCCCTGATTGGTCAGAAGAGCCAACAAATCACCATGTAAACCCTGGAGCAACAGGAACTCAGTGGCCGCTCAATGCATTCTCTGCCCACAGCTGCGCCAGACCTACTTCCTGGCCAGCCCTTACTCCAGCCCTAGTCCCTGCCTACCTCTGAACCGCTGATTCCTATCTCCCGGCTCTGACCACTGGCTTGTCTCCTGACCATGACTCTAGCTCTGCCTTTGGTCCTGTTGTGGCTTCTGGCTCAGTCTGTTGGCTAGCCTCCTGGTTCTGCTCCAACCACTAGTTTGCACCACCTACACTTTGGAGTGTGAACGACATTGCTATTCAAAAAGAATCGGATCTTGTGTGGCTGGGTCACATGGGCACCATGAGTGGAATCTGCATGGACAACACATGTCAAAAACCACAGTTATTGAAGGGTAAGTAACTGTTCTGTTTTCAAGTATATCAGGGACAGAAGGACTCCAGATGGATAGTATTGGCCCATTACTGGATGGAAATGGTAGAATTATCAATAATAATGCAAAAGAGCCGGAAGTGTTCAATAAATATTTCTGTTCCGTATTTGGAAAAAGTCCAGATGATGATGATGATGTCATATCATAGTGTTGAAGGTGAAATACTTTCAATTCCAACGGTAACTAAGGAGGATGTTAAACAGCAGTTACTAAGGTTAGATGTTTTTATATCAGCAAGTCCAGATCACTTTAATCCAAGAATTTAAAAAGAGCTGGCCGAGGAGCTCTCTGGGCCCATTAATGCTGGATTTTCAGTAAATCATGGAACACTGGGGAAGTTCCAAAGGATTGGAAGAAAGCTAATGTTGTGACAACCCAGGTAATTATAGGTCTGTCAGCTGATATCAGTCCTGGGCAAAATAACTGAATGATTGATACAGGACTCGATTAGTAAAGAATTAAAACAGGGGAATATAACTAATGCCAAACAACTTGGATTTATGGAAAATAGATCCTGTCAGACTAACTTGATATCTGTTTTTATGAGACAAGCTTGGTTGATAAAGATAATAGTGTTGCTGTAATATAGTTAGACTTCTGTAAGGCATTGAAGGTGGTATCACATATCATTTTGATTAAGGAACTAGACTGATACAAAACCAACATGGCATATGTTAAATGGATTAAAAGCTGGTTAACTGACTGCTCTAAATTTGTAACTGTAAATAGGGAATCATCATCAAGCAAGTCTGTTTCTAGTGGAACCTGTCGGAATAATTTTTTGGCTCTATGCTACTTAACATTTTTTATCAATGACCTGGAAAAAAACATAAAATCATCAATGATAAAGTTGGCAGATGAGACTAAGATTGGGGGAGTGGTAAATAATGAAGAGGACAGGTCACTGGTACAGGGTGATCTGTATCGCTTGATAAGCTGGGATCAAGCAAACATCCATATCAGTATGGCAAATATGAAGTTGTACACCTAGGATCAAAGAAGGAGGTCACACTTGGATGGGCAGTTCTATCATGTGAAGGAGAGATTCTGAAAAAGACTGGTGGTCATAGTGGATAATTGGTTAAATGTGAGTTTGCATGAACATGAGCTCCCAGTGCAGTGCAGTGACCAAAAAGGCTAATGCGATCCTTGGATGGATAAACAGGGTAATATCAAATAGTAGAGAGGTTATATTGCTGTATATGTGGCCCTTGTGTGACCGGTGCTGGAATATTGTTCCATTCCAGTGTCCCCAATTCAAGAAGGATGTTGAAAATTTGGAAAGGATTCAGAGAAGAGCCACAAGAATAATTACAAGATTGGAAAACATGCCTTATTTATTATTTGTTTTTCATTACCGTAACTCCTGTTTATCCAAAACTCTATTATCCGAACCCCCATGTTGTTCAGATCGGTGCCTTGTCCCCCATGTATCTCATGCTGGGGGACAAGGAAGGGATTTGGATAATGCAGAGCTTCAGAGCATAGAGCAGAGACCCCTGGCTGGTGGGAAGGCCACTCCACTACTGAATGGCTCCTGCCTTCTCAATTATCCAAATTCCCAATTATCCAAATAAAGTCTGTGTCCCCCATGCTGTTTGGATCATTGGAAGTATACTGTATTCATTATTTGTATTAATGTGGTACCTCGGAGCCCTAGTCCTGGCTCAGGACCCCATTGTGCTAGGCCCTGTACAAACACAGAACAAAAAGTTAATCCTTGTCCTGAAGAGCTTACACTTGGTGGCAGGAGGCATTTGCTGCTAGCATGATATAAAACCTAGAACCAATTTAATTTTGCCTAAGAAGAGGGCCCCAATCCAGTTCCAACTAAGATCAAAGAGAAGGATAAGAGACAATTTTCAAAAGCTCCTATGTGACCTAGGAGTATAAGTATAAGACAAGAGATAGTTGGATACAGACAGACTGGGGAGGAAATAATGAGACAGGATTGGTCAGTGTGATAGACAGTGGTCTCAGCACCCCAGCGGCCTAACTGCTATCAAGTTAGGAGAAGGAGAGTCTTAGGGAGGGTTTTGAAGGAAGGAGGATCATGAGAGAGCTTTGCAGATGACCACCTAAGCATGGGAGAAAGCATGAAGGTGCTTGTTTGAAAATGTAACAAGTGGACAGTGGAGTGTGGCATCATGAGCTGATTGGAGGTGGGAGTCAACATCCTGATAATGAATGAGAGATGATAGGTAAAGTGGGGGTGGGCCTCGCAGATCCTTGAAAGTGAAGTAGCTTATGTTTGATGCGCTAGAAAAGGGGGAGCCAATGGAGAGATGTAAAGAAAGGGGTGACACAGTCAAAGCGAAAGGTTAGGAAAATGATCTTTGCAGCTGCATTCTGAATGGATTTGAGCAAGGCAGGACGGTGTTTGTCAAAGCCAGAGGGAAGGATGTTGCAGTGATCCAGGCGTGACACGATGAGAGTTTTAGCTGGGTGGTGGAAAGGAAAAGCCGTATTTTAGAGATGTTTTGTGGAATGAATCAGTAAGCTTCAAACACAGCCTGCATATGAGGACCAAGAGAGAAGCCGGAGTCAAAGAGCATGTGCAGGTTACAGGTCTGAATGACAGACAGGAGGAGGATGTCCAGTGTGATGGAGAAAAGAGGTAGTGGGAAGGGTTTGGAGGGAAGATTAAGAGCTCAGTTTTAGCCATATTGAGTTGGAGCTGATGATCCATGAGGGGATGTCAGAGACAGACAGGCGGTGATTGTAGTTTGGAGAGCAGGAGATAAATCTGTGAGTCATAAGCACAGAGACTGTAGTTGAATTGGTGTTTCTAGATGAAATTGCCAAGACCTAAGGTGCAGCGGGAGAGTAGAGAGGGACCAAGGAGGGAAGGCGTGATTAGAGAACCAGAAGAGGGCATAGTCATGGAAGCCAGGGAAGAGGCCATTAGGGACTTCGGCGAGAGCAGTTTCAAAGAAATGAAAGGGGCAGAAGCCAGATTGGAGAGGGTTTGGGATAGAATTGGAGGAGAGGAACTCCAGACGATGGTAAAGACTCCTGGAGTCTTTCAATCTACTTTAGCTTATCGAAAGGAAGGTTAAGAGGTGACTTGATCACAGTCTGTAAGTGCCTGTGTGGGGAACAACAATTTAATAAGAAGGCTCTTCAATCTAATAGGCCATGATCTAACAAGATCCAATGGTGGAAATTGAAGTTAGACAAATTCAGACTAGAAACAAGATGCAAATTTTTAACAGTGAGGGTAACTGACCACTGGAACAGTTTACCAAGTGTCATGGTGGATTCTCCATCAGTGACCATTTTAAAATCAAGATTGGAAGTTTTTCTAAGATACGATTTAGGTCAACCCCAGACATTGGGCTTGAAGGCAGGAGTTAATTCAGGGAAGCCCTGTGGCCCATGTTGTGCAGGAGCTCAGGCTGGATGATCACAATGGTTCTTTCTGGCCTTAAAATGTATGAATTACTAATGGAACATTTGGAATGTCTAATGGCTTTAGTGAAGTCTGGCCATGGCGGTGACAGTCTGGAGTTAAGTCTGGCCAATAGGTCAATAAACAAACAGCTACAGCTGTGTTCGTCTGCTGCTGACTGCCAGGACCAGCTTCCCCTTCTACAGTCACTGCATCGGACAAGTAAAGGGGCAGTGTCAGCATAATTAGTGAGGAGAAGGGACTTTGGGCCCTACTAGTTGCTAGGGAGGTCCGTGTGGATTGAATTTGCTCCCAGATCCTTCCCTCAAATTTGAGGAGCAAGCAGTGAGTGCTGTCTTGGCCTGCTCACCTAAACACAGTGCAGGCCATGCACTGACCCTGCTCATCCTGTGCTCACCTTGCAGGAGTGGGTGGGTGAACGATGTCTGAAGTCCCTCTGTGAAGACAGCAATGATCTGCAGGATCCCGTTCTGAGCAGCACCCAGGCCCAGAGGCTGATGCAGCTGATCTGTTACCCACATCGACTGCTGGACAATGAGGAGGGAGAGAATCCGCAGCGACAGAGGATTAAACGCATCCTACAGGTGTTGGGGGGGTGGGTCCTGCTTGGCTCCATGGTGGGATGAGTGGGGAGGAGAGAGCCTGACACATTATTCCCATTAACTTCCATTGCTGGACATGAGCGTTCATAACGTCCGTCTCTAAAACACGTTCACCTTCTTGAGGCCAGGGGGAAGATTCATCATTGGGGGAGGGGCTATGTGAGCTGAGGAAGTGGTTGTTAATTTGCAGTGTGTCTGTGTGTTACAGAACTTGGACCAATGGACAATGAGGCAGTCCTCGTTGGAGCTGCAGCTCATGATTAAGCAGACAGCAAACAATGTGAGTTGTGTGGTGAGCTGAGAGAGCTGCCCTGCATGTTGGATGGGGATCTCTCTGTGTTTCCGAGTCGGGGAATGGACCCCTGGCAGGAAGTGAGAACGTGGGGAACATAAGTGGGGGAGGATGCTTGGGGAACGGCTCACCGAGAATGGGTGAGTCGCCCAAGGCCTGCAGGCATGAGAGAGTTTCACTTGGGCCCTGTTGCTGTGGTCAGCCAGTGCCCCAAGTGCTCTAGAAAGAGGAGCGGTGTTGCGGGATGGGGGGGGGTCTAAACTCCACTCGACACTTCTACTCTCTCCAGGAGATGAATTCCTTGTTAGAAAACATTGCCAAGGCCACCATTGAGGTGTTCCAGCAGTCAGCAGAGACTAGCTCCGCTAACTCCACTGGAACTGGAGTCAACAGCCTCAGCACTGCGCCTGTGAGCACTGCATCTGCCAGCAACAAAGTCAAACCCATCCTCAGGTAGGTACTGCCCCAGCTCCTCTCTCCTTGGGACAGTGGGATCCTTTGCAGAGGGACTTTGGACTATGGGTTGGCTCACTCAGCTTTTTGTCTGCCCTGTGTCACAGTTCCTTGGAGAGGTCAGGAGTGTGGCTGGTGGCCCCACTTATCGCCAAGCTGCCCACATCGGTGCAGGGCCATGTACTTAAAGCTGCTGGAGAAGAGCTAGAGAAAGGACAGCACCTGGGGTCATCGTCCCGCAAAGAGCGAGATCGCCAGAAGCAGAAGAGGTGAGCTCTGGGGAGAGGTCAGGAAGCCCTGGGCAGCCACACCTAGCATTTAGTATTGTCTAGCTCACTTCCTCCTCTTCTTCCCAGCATGTCCCTCCTGAGCCAGCAGCCCTTCCTGTCGCTGGTGCTGACGTGTTTAAAAGGACAGGATGAGCAGCGAGAAGGCCTCCTTACCTCACTCTACAGCCAGGTCCAGCAGGTAGGCCCCTTTCCAGCCCTCACAAGAGCTTGGGAACAACAGAGCATCCAAATGGATGTACCCTCACAGGGTGGCATCCTCCATGGGGAAGGCATCTCCCTCACTCCCTCCATACCGGGGACTGTGGGTGCTTTGGCAGGGCATCTTCTCTGCTTTCCTCCTAGCCCAGACTGTGAGGAGTGGGGAGTACTCACTGCTTCCCCTGCAGTGCAGGGTCCAGCATGTGAGGTCCTCACCTCTCTTCTAAATCTCTTAGATTGTTACAAACTGGCGGGAAGATCAGTACCAGGACGACTGTAAAGCCAAACAGCTGATGCATGAGGCCTTGAAACTGCGACTGAATCTGGTGAGCAGCAGGAGAAAGGGGAGATAAACAGGGAGACCTCCCTTCTAGGGGTGGGCAGGGCCTGATGAAGATTTCCCTGGCTCTTCTGGGTATGGAGCCTTGCGGGGGACGGAATGGATGGAGAGACCTGACTGTCCTGTCCAGACGGGAGACACACCTTGAACTCTTTCAGAAACGCTCAGTGCAGATTGGTCACAGCATTGCTTCCCTTTTCAACTTGCTGCCAATCTGGCAGGGCCTAAGCTGCTCCAGGGCCTACAGCAGGGCACCCCTTTAGCTGGGCTGCCTGGAGCTTGTCCCCCCCTCACCTGCCCATAAGAGGTATCCTGGCTTAGCCTCCACTCTCCCTTTTGGGTTCTGGGGTTCCCTGTGTGGCAGGCTCTGACTGACTTTTGTTCCCTGCCAGGTGGGGGGGATGTTTGACACAGTTCAGCGCAGCACACAGCAGACAACAGAGTGGGCGGTGCTTCTCCTGGACATCATCAGCAGTGGGACTGTCGACATGCAGTCAAACAAGTAACTGTCTCCTTCAAGTCTCGGAGCAGGGCCCCTCCCACGGGGAGTCTAGAGTTAGTCCAGCTCCTTCCTGGTGAGGGCAAGCTGTCCCACCCACATACTTCTGTCCCCTGGAGGAGAGCCAGCCCGCAAGCACATATAGACCTCTCCTGCGAGAGGCTTGCGGGAATCAGGAACCAGGGATGGCTGAAAGAGACTTAGGAGAAGTAGTGGGCAACTAGTTCCCAGTGCATAGGCTCATATGGCAGCCAAAGGGCCCCCACACTCCATGGGCACATGCAGAGCAGGGAGGGGACAGTCCCCTCCCTACAGCTGGTGCACTGAGCTCACCCAGGCATCGTTATTACCGGAAAGATGCAGTCAAGCTGTGAGGAGCTCAGGGCAGAGCTGAGGGACTGAGCTGTGAGGAGAGGCTGAGTGAGTGTGCACGCAGGGGGCACATCCAGCTGTCTTGAGGGTGTGAATGCTATGGGGGCAACAAGGTGCAATGGGATGGTGAGGGGTCTGGGAGGCCGTGGAACAGTTTTCCAGTGGAGGAGATGGGGATTGAAGTCTGGACAGGGTGCTATAAGATGTCCTGTGCTGGTGGGTCCAATCCTGCCCATCTCCTGAGGGCATGTTCCAGGTGAGTTAACGGGGCATTGTTCTCTGTGATGGCAGAGGTGCTCATGCAACCCTGCATTTCTGTGTGGTGCTGGGCTGTGGAACTGCAGGGTCTTCCCCTCTCCTGACCTCAGCCTTTCTCCTCTTCCCCTCAGCGAGCTCTTCACCACAGTGCTGGACATGCTGAGTGTGCTCATCAACGGCACCCTGGCTGCGGACATGTCCAGCATTTCTCAGGGCAGCATGGAGGAGAACAAGCGAGCATACATGAACCTGGTCAAGAAACTCAGGGTGAGGAGGCCCTGGCCAGTCTGGAGAGCTGGGGAATATGGTGTGGTGTTGGGCACAGAGGACAGGGGGCAGCGATATAAGAGGGTATTGAGAAGTGGTTTGTGGGGCATGGGGCAATAGGGCAGTGGTGGTTGTGGGGCAGAGCATTGTGGGGACGACAGTGATAGTAGGGTTGGTTGCATTGAATGCCGCTGTTTGAATGGCTCCTGACGCCTTTGTCTCCGCCTAGTGCAGAAGGAGTTGGGCGACCGACAATCCGACAGCCTGGAGAAAGTGCGACAGCTACTTCCTCTTCCCAAGCAGACTCGGGACGTCATTACCTGCGAACCTCAGGGATCCCTCATTGACACCAAAGGCAACAAGATTGCTGGCTTTGACTCTATTTTCAAGAAGGAGGCAAGTAGTCCTGTTCCTGGGCCTCTGAGTCATGGCTGCTGGTGCACAGACAGCCTCGTGCTGCTCTTGCCTGGAGCCTGTGCTGGTGTCTGGAAGCATCTGGTTTGTTAACCCTCTTGCCAAGTACTGTGTTTTGTGCAGCTGTCCAAAAAGAGCCAGGGCCCTCGCACTCAGCGTGGTGTAGCCACATCAGGGAAGGGCAGAGTTAAGGTGTTTTAACCCGTTAATAGTTGCAGGCAATGTCTTCCAAGACGTCACGAGTACTGCTGCTGCTGATTTAAATGTTGGCTCTGTGCCCACGGAGACCCACGAGCCATGCCACAGCAGCTTACAGCCTATATGCCAGCAGGAGACCGGCAAAGGGGGGGGGGGAAAGGGGGGGGGATGAATTGAGGAGCAATAGGAGACAATGTGGTGAACATTGTTTCAGAAGAGCCAAGACACTGGTCCCTGCTCGATGGAGTGGAGCTGGTGGTATGGGCTCCCTGTGCCCTTGCCCAAGGGCTGCTAGTGGCTTGGGGTTTGCTCACTGACTTTCTCGTCTTTCTTTCAAGGGTTTGCAAGTCTCCACGAAGCAGAAGATTTCCCCCTGGGATCTGTTTGAGGGCCTGAAGCACTCAGCCCCCCTCTCTTGGGGCTGGTTTGGGACTGTGCGAGTGGATCGTAAGGTGTCCAGGTTCGAGGAGCAGCAGAGGCTCCTGCTGTATCATACACACCTGAAACCCAAGCCCCGCAGCTACTACCTGGAGCCACTGCCACTGCCTCCCGAGGAGGAGGAGCCCCCCACACCTGTGGCCCTAGAGCCAGAGAAGAAGGTTGTAGAGCCAGCCAAGGCTGATAAAACCAGCTCCAATCCTGCCACCTCCACTGAGGAGCGCAAGAAGAAACCGAGCAAGAGCAAGAAACGCAACCAGCCTGCCAACAAAAGCGAGGTAACATGGCCTTTCCCGCCAGCCGTGGACCTGACACAGGGCTGTGTCCCACCCCCAACCACAGATCTGCCCTCTCTGCTCTGCCTGGGAGGAGCAGGTGGTTAGTGCTTTCCTTTCCGAGAGGCATCAGTGAAACGCTGGACCTCTTCCCAGCATTCCCTGGGAGAGGAGCCTCTCCGGGTTTCTTGAGGAAGAGGCAGTGTGTGTGCCCTCAGCATCCTTGCTAGGGAGAGGAGAGGCTGCTCGTAGCCCTGACTAGCACACAGGGTGCTGTCTCTTTTAGCTTTGTGACCCAGTTGTCCCAGCTGTGAGTTCCTGGAGGCTCCAGGTGTGCTGCTCCCACTCACTCCTCCTTCCTCCTGCAGGATTTTGTGTTGGGCCCTGGCCGAGGAGTCTCCTATGGAGTTGGCATGCCTGCAGACCTCATGCATCATCAGGCTGGGAATTCCATGTCTAGACTGGCATATGGGCAGTCGCCAGTGGGTCTCTATGCCCAGAATCAGCCTCTGCCAGCAGGTAGGTGTGGGGGAGAGGAGAATCTTACTACCCTGCAGGTAGCAACTTTAAGGGAGTCCCTTTTACATCATGAGCTTCCTTTTCTGTAGCCATTTGAGAGGTGAGCGAATGGAAGAACCAGACACACCTGCCTGGGCTTGGCCTGGCTAGAGACGAATAACCAGCAGAGAGTGCCCCTTCGCAGCTGCTCCTGCCCTAGTGTGGTGGGACAGTGGGGGGTAGGATGTGTGTGACTCTGGCCCTTTCTCTTTCTCCTCCTATTGCAGGTGGCCCTCGGCTGGATACCTCCTACAGACCTGTACGCGTGCCCCTGGGAAAGCTGGTGCAGAGTCGGCCCTCCTACAGTGGGGTGCTGCCTTCGGGGATGAGTGGCATGATGGGAATTGACCCTTCCTACAAGCCAGCAGTCTACAGACAGCAGCCTCCAGTTTCCCAAGGGCAGCTGCTCCGCCAGCAGCTTCAGGCTAAGCTGGTACGGCGGAGCTGTGTCCCACCCCTGGCTGCGCAGTCGTCCCAGAGCACAGTGGGTCCTGGGTTGTGCTCACTGGTTTTCATTTTCTTATTCATGCTGGAAAACAAACTCCCCAACACTCTTCCTAACCCTGCATTTCCGTCTGCCTCAGGTGGCTGGTATTTCTATAGCATTTGGCATCATCTGGGTCCTTGGTTCCTTTCTTTCTTTGTGTTCCCACATCATTGATTGAATCAGCCGTGATGGGGAGACAGACACGGAGAATGAGCTAGTGTCACTGTGGCTGCGGGGCCAGCAGGGGGCGCCAGGCCCTAGTCTGGGGAGGGCAGGGGTTAGTGTCACTGCATCTGTGGGGCCAGCAGGGGGGAAGGCAGGGGTTAGTGTCACTGGACTGTGGGGCCAACAGAAATGGAGGCAGGTCTGTTCTTTAGCCTGGCCTGGGAACATTCTCCAAGGCCTTGTCCTGATTGGAAGGTGGGGTCCCTGCGAGTCCAGTTGCTCACTGCTGGGTCCCATGTGGCCGTGACATTCCTGCCAGACTGAGTCCTGGAGAGGACGGGCTGTTGTGTCTGGCCTGGGAGGAGCTCACATATGCCCAGAGGATGGCAAAGAGGGACCTGGATGGTCCTAGGTCTCCGTGTTCCTGAGTGTGAATGTCTCGTGCTCCTTTCCAGCAGGGCCAGGGAATGCTGGGGCAGCCACCAGTGCGCCACATGACCCCTACCCCTTCCTATGGAGCCCTGCAGCCTTCCCAGGTGAGTGGGGTTTTCTCTGGCAGGGAGGAGGGGGATGAAGGGACAGGTGGGTTCAGGCGCAGCCAGCACTGTGTGAACTCCTGCTGCAGGGCCCTGGAGCCACCTGGTGCTCCCCTGGTGTCCCCACTTGCCAATTGTCATGAAAATTCCAATCTCTGGGAAGAGGGTGAAGTGGACCAAGAGGCCCTGGGTTTCTAATGCTGCCATCTCTGTGTCCCAGTGGGAAACCCCTCTCCCTTCCTCCCCCAGCACTCCCTCTGTATCCCAGCACATTTAACATTGGCTTTTTCTTCCCCTCAGGGTTACACACCTTACGTCTCCCATATAGGCCTGCAGCAGCATCCCCCTCAGTCCAGTACAATGGTACCTCCCAACTATTCCAGCCAGCCCTACCAGAATTCCCATCCCAGCTCAAACCCAGCTCTCGTGGATCCCGTCAGACAGATGCAGCAGAGACCAAGTGGCTATGTGCATCAGCAGGCCCCCGGCTATGGCCACGCCCTGGGCAACACGCAGAGGTACCTCCCAACCTGCAGGCGCTGAGCAGCTCTTGGTGTTGCACAGGGAGCTTCTCCAATGTAACTGCTCAGACAGGACTAGTGGATAGGGGACTGTGAAAAGCCTTGTGGCCCCAGGGCTATAGCTCTGGTGCTGTAGCGTTCAGCATCTTGGAATCCTTTGTGCCTCCGGAGCTGATGGTCTTGTCCAGTTCCGTGTCAGACCCAGAAAGGTATTACAGCCAGGAGGGAATTCAGTGAGTAGCATGGGGAGAGATGTGTATAAACCCCAAGCAGGGAGAGGGGTTAAGAGGCTGTGACTAGTAAGGGAGGGATGGAATTAAGAAAGGGGAATGTAGGCTGAAGGATAGAGAGAAGTCATTAACCACAGATTCGGACCTCACCCCAGGGGAGAAGGGCTGGGACCCCAGTCACTCTCAAACAGGTGGATCTGGCCAGGGAATCACCTGACCAGGGGAAGGACTGGGTGCGCTGTCACTCCCTGACCAGGGGATGGATCTGGCTGGGAGATTGTCCATCCCCCCCAGGGGGAAAGCACTGGATGCACCATCGTTCTCCATCAGGGGGATGGATACAGCCAGGAAATTGTCCCCAGGAGCAGGGCTCGGAGTCCTGTTGCTTGAGACTTTTTAACCTAGACTGGACAAACCTTTGAAAAAGTACAGGGAGAATCCTGCATCCAAGCCTAGTTGAGAGGGTGCATGGGTCCCAGGGGGTGTTCTGGGCTCTCTGAACTGGTGATGTGGGAGGTTCTGGTTCTGGCCATGCTTGCTCTGATGCGTTTGGTTTTCTTAAACAATGAGAAGCTCAGGCTGGGTTTAGGGAGGCTCCTCTGTCTCCAGGCTTTGTCTGGATCCACAAGAGCCACTGATCCTTCTCCTTGTTGTGTAAGGTTTCCTCATCAGTCGATACAGCAAGCGCCTATGATGAGCGGGATGAATCATATGAGTGCACAAGGGGTTCCATCAGGAATCCGACCCAGTCAGATATTACCTGATCAGCAGCAGCAGCAGCAGCAGCAGCAGTACCTGAGGCAGCAGCAGCAGCAACAGCAGATGCTGAGGGTAAGTGAAGGCCTGCTTCTTTTTTCCACCTTCTCTCACGTCATCTGAAGAGCCAGAGTTGAGGGGTGGAGGGCCTTCAAGCACCACTAGCCCAGATGTGTCCTCTAATCTGTGCAGTACTCTGTCATTGCCAGCAGGGGGAGCTGATGACAGCAGGGGTGCTCTCTGTCACGCTTTTGTTTGATAGGCGACTAAGATGCCTGTTCCGCTGCTTCTTTGCTAATCTCTCTCCTGAGAAGATGTTCTCCCTTCCTAGGAATTGTGTGCTCCTGGTGTAGAGACCTGGGGGCATTGCTTTGCTGTCACTTTCAAGTCATCTGACATACATAGTAGAAAAATCTGTTGGGTCTGTCCCCCATTGATCTGCTCCCCACTGCTCTCGGCTCCAGCTGAGCCTTTGAAATATTGGTAGAAGTTTGGCTCACAAAACAGTTAGTGTTGCAGTGGTGCTAAGCTCTGAGCTTTACTGGTACGTCACTGCCCAGTGCTGCTTCATGCAATGAGTTGTAGCCATGCTAGTGCAAGGGTATTACAGAGACAAGGTGGGTGAGGTAATATCTTTTATTGGACTCACTTCTGTTGGTGAGCGAGAGAAGCTTTTGAGCCACACACAGCATGTGGCTCAAAAGCTTGTGTCACTCACCACCTGAAGTTGGTCCAGTAAAAGATATTATCTCACCCACCTTGTCTCTCCAGTGCTGCTTTAGACATTCTTTGTGAGCCAGATGTGTCCAGGCTTCTCAGTGAACCTCTTTAACTGGAGATCCCCTCCCAACCTGAGGCGAGGGCAGGACTTTTCCATATAGGAGAAGTTATAGGGTCATGTAGCTGGAATGGAAATGACTACGCTGATTTGTAATTCCCACCTGTAGTGAGCTCAATGTGAGTCTGTGGGTACATTCCTATCTCACTTATTCTGAAATGAGTGTGTGCACAGTCCTGCCCAAAATCACAGGGGTGGGCATTAAAGGCAGCTAAATCGTTTCACTGACAGTTTATATGTAGATGAGCCCTCTGGCTTTTTCCAGTGTGACGTGTCCCAGGTAGACCTTGGTGAGGCTTCCAGCCTTGCCTTTGGGAGGCTGTCTCATGGGCTAGGAGATTTCATTATTACAAAATGTCCCCTAATATTCAGCTTTTATTTCCTTTTGGTGATTGTTAACGGCAAAGGGCTCCTCACTTGTTCCTTGTATGCAGTCTTACAATAGACAGTGATGTGCTAATTTTAGGTGAGCCCTCAGATAGAAACTTCTCCTAGATTAGGAGAATCTATGTGTTGATGGAAGTGGATTTATTCCCTGGCTTTAGAGTAGGGTTTGATGAATGTTGGATCCATGACATTGATGACACGGTAACATAGGTATTAACACACCTGCTCCTGAAATGGTAGAAATCGATTGAGAATTACAAGGGAAATTTTATTTTAAACAATGAATTTTTGGGGCTACTGGGTTCAAGTGAACTGTATTCCCTAACTGATTGTAAGGTCTTCTACTTCTTCAAGTAGTGTCCCTATGGGTGCTCTGCTGTAGGTTTATCTGAGTCCCTGCGCTGCTGATCAGAGAATTTGGTAGCAGTGTCTGTTTGGCCCAAGCATGCACACTCCCCCACGCTACCCTCCCCGGTTCCTTCTCAACCGCCCCTGGCTAGAGATGGAGCTTTAGCAGTCCGTTAGTGGATCATTACTTTCTATAGAATTGCTAATTGTTTCTCTAATCTTTTAGCGCTTCCTTTTCTTTTTCACTCCTTTATCATTTATTTTGCTAAAACAAAAAAACAAAAAAAAACTTTACTTAGTTTTTCTTCTACCCCCCCCCCCCCCCCCCTTGGGGGCCCCCCCCCCCCCCCCCCCCCGGAACAGGGTATGCCTGGTTCACTGGGCTTCAAGAAGTGTCTCAGTTGCAAAGAATCTATCCCAGTGACTGATTGACATTCTCAGTGCGTCTGCTGTCTCGAAGAGAACCACATCCCACAGAAGTATAGTTTATGCCAACAATTGAAACACAGATCTAGAAAGGATAGAGAACTGAGACTCAAGGTTCTTCTAATGGAAGCGGCCCTCCAACCACCCTTGGAGTTGCACCAAGGCTCCGGACGGCAGGAATTTTCACCGCAACCCTCTACATCTAAGGGTGGTGAGCCTAAGAAGTCAACCACGAGCCACTCTTACAAGGCCTCTAAGAAAAGGGCCAGTAGTACCGGGGCTCGCATGGTACCTACCACCCCAACAGAACATCTGGGACTGCCTAAGGACCCGATGGGCACAGGCAAGGAATCATTGGTACTGCCTGGGCACGAGAAAACTAGAGAATCCACCCTGGAGAAGGCTCCTGAAGTGCAGACCTCAATGTGGGTACCGTCACGACTGGCAGACCGCGCAATCAGGACAGCATTGCCAGCCCCTTCGGTGCAGATATCTCAGCACTGCTAAATGCTACTGGTACCAATGACTGCGGCACCACCGATTTTCAGTACATGACAGACGTTTCGGTGTTTGATGCACTGGACTCACCTCTACTCGGTACCGGGGTCCCAGCACTGAGTCCACCCAGAGCTCCAGGCTCACCAGTGACATCATGCCATGCACCCCCATTTTCGAGTGCTGAGTCAGATAGTGAGCAAGAGGACAGTCTCCCGCCATTCCTCTCATCCACCCTATGGTACCCATTTCCAGTATAGACCTCAACTGTACTGCCCCTCTGACCCCGAGCCTCCTTGGTATGGGCAGCCATGGTACCAACCTCCAGGGCCTTTCCCACCCTCTCAATGGCCTTACTGGGATCCTTGGCAGGCACAGAGACACCATGCCTCGCATGGCTCTAGCTTGTCCTATCAGGAGCCCATGAGATACCCACCGCATTGAGGGCGTCTGAGCCCCCTGAACAGTCATGAGGGAACAAGAGGCTGAAGTCGAGGAGGAGATTACCCCCCACCCTGACCAACTTCTCATCTTCATCACCAGATGAGACAGTGATGCCCCCTTCTCCATCGCTGGCAGATGATTTCAAGCTTTTTCCAGGAGCTAGCTCATAGGGTGGCAGATGCATTACAACTACCATTACAAGAGGTGACCGAGTCACACCATAAACTATTGGACATTTTACTCACCTTGTCCAGACTAGCTCTCCCTATTAACGGGGCCCTCTTGGACCCTGTCAAACTCATATGGCAGACCCTGGCATCGGTCCCACCAACATGCCAGCGGGACGATAAAAAGTGTTACATGCCGGCAAAAGACACAGAATTTCTCTTCTCCCACCCACCTCCCAATTCAGTCATTGTGGACATGCTGAGCTCAAGAGGCCATCAGCATCATCTGAAATCCAGCCCCTATGACTGGGACTGGAAGTGCCTCTGTCTTTTGGGGAGAAAAATATACTCATCAGCACTTTACAGTTCTGTATCGGCAAACTATCAGCCCTTAGTGGCAAAATATGATTACATCAACTACTCAAAATTCAATTCCTTTATTGAGCAGCTCCCAGATTCTCACAAAGACCAATTCAAAGCCATCATTAATGAAGGCCAACAAGTGGCAAAGACGTCACTCCAGTCTGCACTCGATGCAGCTGACACGACAGCACGTTCCATCTCCACTGCCGTCGTGATGAGATGAGTTTCTTGGCTGCAGTTATTCGGTTTCCCCAAAGAGGTGCAAACAACCGTAGAGGACCTTCTCTTTGAAGATACAAAGCTCTTTGTGAAAAAGACAGACCCTTCCCTTCACACTTTAAAAGATTCCAGGGCTACTCTTTGATTGCTCAGAATCTACACACCTTTGTTCCGCCCACTTGTCACAATATTCATCCCAATGCTTGTATGAACCCCCCAAAAAAGAAGTCTAGGTTCTACAAACAGAAATCTTCAGGCCCTCAACCTATTTCTTCGTAGCCATCCATCTCAAAACGACAGTTTTGTTGGGTTGTTTGAGGTGCCATCAGACCAGTCTCTTCAATATCATCCAACATTGGAAAACCCCTCTCATCCCTATGGATGCCGGCATCTTGACCCATTGTGCAGCACCTGGGATAACCTCTGACAAATGAGTACTGGAGATTATTCAAGATTGGTACTCCATCTATTTCCCCTCCCCCCCAAACACCCTTCCGCTTCCCTCTTCAGTGACCCTTCTCATAAGAACCTATTACAACAAGAGAGAGACCATCTCCTCAGTGTAGGATCCATAAAACCAGTACATCTAAGACGCAAAGACTTTTACTCTCGTTATTTCCTGATACCCAAGAAAAAGCGAAGTTGGAGACCCATACTAGACCTCAGGGTGCTCAACAAATTTGTCAAGGCTCAGAAGTTCAAGATGGTCACTTTATTATTCCAGCATTAGAAAAAGGTGACTGGTTCGTGGCCCGTGACCTCCAAGATGCGTACTTCCACATTTCAATCATACCATGTCACAGAAGATATCTCAGATTGACACTAGGCCAGGACCACTACCAGTATAGAGTACTCCCTTTTGCTCTCTAATTGGCCCACAGAGTATTCGTCAAGATCCTGTCTGTGGTGGCAGCTCACCTACATTCCCAGGGCATTATGATCTACCCTTACCTGGACGATTGTCTCTTCAGGGCGCATTCCTTCATCAAAACCCAGCGAGTTACCAGAATCGCTCTGGATCTGTTCAAGAATCTGGACCTACAAATCAATGCAAAAAATCAACATTAATACTGGTACAGAGACTAGAATTCATAGGATCCAATGTCGACTCTGAGCAAGAGTGCTTCTCCCACAACACAGGTTCCTCAGTCTGTCCACACTTATAGAGACAGTGCACTCCAGCCCTCAAATATTGGCTTCAGCTTCTGGGGCACATGGCCACAGACACATGGATGATAGCTCAGGCCAGACTTCACATGAGATGCCTCCAATTATGGTTCAGTTCGGTTTACAGACCAAACAAAGACAACATAGATAAACTCCTATCGATGCCCACCAAAATCAAACAATCCTTGAATCCATGGAAAGACCAGCAAACACCTGCATGGGAATCCCATTCACTCTGCCTTCCCCATCACTATTTCTCACCACCGACGCATCTCTGATAGGATGGGGCGCACATATCAATGATCTCGCAGTGCAGGGCAAATGGTCTCCATCCGAGACGTGCCTTCACATCAATCTACTCAAACTCAGAGTGGTCAGGAACGTGTGTGCTCATTTCCTTCTGCTGATCAGAGGCACGTGCACAAAGGTCATGACGGACAATAGAGCGTGCATGTATTACATACACCATCAAGGAGACACCAGTGGAAGCACTAAAGCTATGGAACTGGTTTATTTCCTACAATGTTACAATATCAGCAGCTTAACTACCAAGAGTACACAACATGATAGCAGACAATCTCAGCCACAAATTCCCACACAACCACAAGTGGGAGATAGACTCAGTGGTACTCTGACACATTCCGACAATGGGGGACACTGATACTAGACTTGTTAGCTACTTACCAGAACAAGAAATGTCCATGGTACTGCTCCAGAATGGACATTGGCCAGCACTCTATGGGGGACGCTTGCCTCCTCTCGTGAGACAAGGGCCTTCTTTCCACCTTTCTCCCATTTCCTCTGTTGCTGAAATTCCTGTTGAAAATAAAAAGAGAAAAAGCAAACAAAATACCGATTGCTCCCACCGGACCCAGACAGACATGGTACCCTTATCTGTCACAACTGGTGCTCTGTCCACCGATGACTCTTCCAACAACTCCTTACCTCCTCTTGCAGAATGAGAGAAACACTCTCCATCCCAACCTATGGATACTATGGCTCAAAGCCTGGCTCCTTCATGGTTCCAGCGCATAGAAACATCATGCTCTGAAGAGGTACAGGAAGTGTTATTGCACACTAGGAAAGTGGCTCCCATCGTACTTGCCTATAGAAGTGGACTAGTTTCCAGATCTGGTGCCAGTTCAAAAAAGTTACCCTGGATGCGGCCACTCTACCTGTACTCCTAAACAGTGTTCCCTCTAATTTTCCCCACACATGTGTGGAATGAATTTTGTTATATGCACCGATATGGTCAAAGATATAGATCAAAGCAGATTACCTAGCAAATAAACAAAAAACGCAAACTAAGCTTAATATACTAAATAGACTGGATATGAATTAGCAGAGTCTCACCCTAAGAGATGATACCAGCAGGCTGCAGATTCTTAAGGGGCAAGCTGCACTTGCTTTACAGCTTGGAATCCCCAGGTCTTTCGTACACAGGCCAGAAATCCCTTTAGCCTGGGTCCAGCACTTCCCCCAGGTCAGTCTTTGTTCCTCAGGTGTTTCCAGGAGTTTTCTTGTGTTGGGAATGAAGAACTCCAGATGATGTCACTCCCTGCCTTGTATAGCCTTAGCATATGGCGGGAACCCTTTGTTCTCAAGCTTGGTTCCCAGACCAGTCTGTGGAAAAACACTGACATCCCAAGATGGAGACCAGCATCATGGGGCCTGGTCACATGTCCTTGTATAGTCATAGCAGCCATCATTCACAGGCTGTCTGTGGTGTTCTCAGTAAGGCTCACCAGGTGGGAGATAAGCTTCTCTTAATGCCTATTGTTCTCCCTAATGGCACATTCGCCTGAATAGGCCGTTTCCAACCAGCTTTCTAGACTGACAGCAGCTTGTCTAGTGGGCGTTACCCAGGTGTAACTACATTTGAAATATAGATACATAGTCCACATTCATAACTTCAGATACAAAAATGATACATGCATACAAATAGAATAATCATATTAAGCAAATCATACCTTTTTTTCAATGACACCTCACATGACTTATCTTGCATAAAATGCATCATAATTATGCTATAACCATATCATAATAATATCACTATGAAGAATATGGGGTGCAGTGTCACAGACGGCGTTCTTTATCGCCATTACCTCGACAAGAAGGATATGGGAGATAGCAACCTTTATGGCGCATCCCCCCTTCACAGTGTTCTTCCCTGACAAAGTCTTGCTTAGACCACATCCGAAGTTCACACCCAAGGTGACTTCCACATTTCATGTGAACCAACTCATTCACCTTCCAGCCTTTTAACCCAAGCCTCACCAGCATAATAGGCCAAGCCATCCTCCATACACTCGATGTAAGGAGAACCTTGGCCTATTATTTGGACAGGACAAGAGTTTTTTAGAAAATCTCCAAGACTTTTCCTCTCTGTCATGGACAGGGCTAGAGGCATAGCGATTTCAGCTCAAAAATTCTCTAAATGGGTCTCAAACTATCAAACTCTGTTATCAGATGTGCAATTTAGCACCCCATCTACAATCTCACACATTCTGCGAGATTGGTTTCCTCATCCGTCACCTTCTCCAAGGGTATCCCTGTATCAGAAATCTACAGAGCGGTTACCTTGGCATCTGCGCATACATTTGCTGAACATCATGCCAGCCTTGGGGACTCTGCTGCAGACGCCAGATTTGGCACCGTGGTACTATCATCCATCAGAGACTCGACTCCAAAGCCACAGCCTCCAGTAGGGGATACTGCTCGGGAGTCACCTACAATGGAGCACCCATAGGAACACTACTAGAAGAAGTTACTCACCTTGTGCAGATGTGTGTCCCTATCGGTGCTCCACGACCCACCCTCCTCCCTTCTACTTCGGAGTTCTCATCATTCACTTTGCAGTAGAGAAGGAACTGAGGAGGGGTTCACCTGAGCAACACTGGTTAGCCTCGTGGCAGGGCATGAGCGGGTAGGGCAGCGCATGCGCAGGCTGAATGGACACTTCTACCAAAGCTCTCCGATCAGCCGCGCAGGGACGCAGACACACCTACAGTGGAGCACTGTAGGGACACACATCTCGAAGAACCATCGTTACTGCACAAGGTGAGTAATTTCTTCATGCACACAACATCGCATGCATGTTTACCCTTTTATTTTGTTCTTTGCTTTTTCAATTAAAGGAAAAAAAGCGGGTCCAGACTTTTCCCAAACATCACCATCAATAAAGTTGAGGGGCAGCCTGGGAAGGTCACTGTTTGTTTATTGAATTACAGATTTTTCCCTGTAGTATTCCCTAGGCTGACTGTCTTATTGTATAGCCCTCCCCATGACACATCCCTAATGGTCTCTTCTGCTTCTTTTTTTTCAGCAGCAACAGCAGCAGCAGCAGCAACAACAACAACAACAGCAGCAACAACAACAACAACAACAGCAGCAGCAACAGGCACCACCACAGCAACAGCCACAGGTGTCCACAGTCCCTCAGCCACAAGCCCAGGGCCAGCCTCCTGGCCTGGGGATGCAGGCTCTTCCTCCTCAACAGCCCATTGTAAGTGTGTCACAGAGCTAGAGGGGAAGAGTCATTCATCATAGCCCAGCCATCCATAGATCCTCCTACCTGCTCCCTGCAGCACTCTCCTTCTCCACCCCACTAGCTGCTGCCTAACACGGGGAGGATTTGCTGGCTGCCTGTGTGAATGCTGAGTCCCCACAAGCCTAGTGGCACTTGTTAATCATGTTTCTCTCTTTCTAGTTCCAGCGCCAGGGTCTCCAGCAGACGCAGCAGCAGCAGCAAACAGCTGCCCTGGTCCGACAGCTTCAGCAGCAACTCTCTAGTAAGAAATTAGCACTCTTCGTTTTTCTTACTCTTCTCCCTGCCCCACCCAAAGTGTCTTTCTCCATAGAACAGGCCCTAGTGTAAAGTGATAGCGAGGGGAGGGCAAGCCCAGGCTTCTCTGTCTCTTTACACATCATCTCTCGGTGAACACGGATTGTTGGGGAAGAGCCAACATGACTTTGTAAAGGGAAATCTTGCCTCACCAATCTATTAGAATTCTTTGAGGGGATCAACAAACGTGGACAAGGGTGATCCAGTGGATATAGTGTACTTAGACTTTCAGAAAGCCTTTGACAAGGACCCTCACTAAAGGCTCTTAAGCAAAGTAAGCTGTCATGGGATAAGAGGGAAGGTTCTCTCCTGGATCAGTAAGTGGTTAAAAGACAGGAAATAAAGGGTAGATATAAATGGTCAGTTTTCAGAATGGAAAGAGGTAAATTAATGGTGTCCCCCAGGGATCTTTACTGGGACCAGTGCTGTTCAACATATTCATAAATAATCTGGAAAAAGGGGTAAACAGTGAGGTGGCCAAGTTTTCAGATGATACAAAGTTACTCGAGATAGTTAAGTCCCAGGCAGACTGCAAAGAGTTACAAAGGGAATCTCATAAAACTGATGACTGGGCAAGAAAATGGCAGATGAAATTTATTGTTAATAAATGCAAAGTAATGCACATTGAAAAACATAATCCCAATTATTCATACCAAATGATGGGATCTAAATTAGCTGTTACCACTCAAGAAAGAGATCTTGGAGTCATTGTGGATAGTTCTCTGAAAACATCCACTCAAAGTGCAGTGGTGGTCAAAAAAGCAAACAAAATGGAACCATTAAGAAAGGGGTAGCCAGTAAGACAGTAAATATCATAATGCCACTATATAGATCCATGGTACGCCCACACCTTAAATACTATCTCCAGATCTGGTTGCCCCATCTCAAAAAAGATGTATTAGAAATGGAAAAAGTATAGAGAGAGGCAATAGAAATGATTATGGGTATGGAACAGCTTCCACATGAGGAGAGATTAAAAAGACTGGGACTGTTCAGCTTGGAAAAGAGACGATTAAGGGTGGGGATATGATAGAGGACTATAAAATCATGAATGGTGTGGCGAAAGTGATTAAGGAAGTATTATTTATCCCTTCACATAACATAAGAACCAGGGGTCACCCAATAAAATTAATAGGCTGCAGGTTTAAAACAAACATAAGGAAGTACTTCTTCACTCAAAGCACAGCCAACCTGTGGAACTCATTGCCAGGGGATGTTGTGAAGGCCAAAACTGTAACAGAGTTCAAAAAAGAATTAGGTAAGTTAATGGAGGATAGGTCCATCAATGGCTATTAGTCAAGATGGTCAGAGATGCAACCCCATGTCTGGGTGTCCCTAAGCCTCTGACTGCCAGAAGCTGAGTTTGGATCATGCATTAACTACCCTGTTCTGTTCATTCCCTCTGAAGCACCTGGCACTGGCCACTGTCAGAAGACAGGATACTTGGCTAGATGGACCATTGGTCTGACCCAGTATAGCCATTCCTATGTTCTTATGACCATAGCTGCTGTTAGTGGTGCCAGAGCCGCAGGCAGAGAGAGGAGCACACAGATTTAAAAATGTTATTAAGATGATGTTAAAAAAAAATAATGAACAGAGTTTGAGCATAGAAGTTTCTGGTTATCAGGGAATAACATACAGATTATCGAGGGTGCAAAGTACTACCAACCAAGTGAGCAGCCTTCTAGACCTGTTGCAGACAGAGGGGCCAGGGCAGCAGTGTCTGTGGAGGCAGTCGGGCAGCTCTCCCAAACGTGTCAGGTCTGCTTTTCTGGATGTACCACTGTGTCAGTGCCACTGCCTCCATCGTTGCTGGCTCCCAACGATCTCAACGGCAGTATAAATTCTGGAGCTCGTGCCTGATGGGGCAGCCAGGGAGGTGCTTTATTCAGGACATGGTCAGTCCTCCAGACCACCCTGCTGTTGTAGGGATCACGTCAGTAATTTTATACAATTAAACTGGCAATTAAACTATTCAACACCCAAGCCAGAGCCCTGCCCAAAGGAATGCTGCATGAAACATATGCTGCCTTACTTCCCAGCTGTGCCCAGGTGCATCGAACCCTGCCCCAAGTGACCCCATCTCAGTGCAGCAGAACCATCGAACACAGTGATGCAAAAACTTTGCAGTTTTCTGTATATAATTTAAAATTGGATTCCGGCCCCTCCAGCATTCTTTCCCTTATGAGGGTGAGACTGCAGGGACTATTAGATATTCCTTTATGGGCTGTTACATATTCCTTCCAGTGCCTGTATGTGCTTCACTGGGGCTGCATTATACAGCAAGCCAGGGAGATGCAAGTGAGATTGCAGAGTTTCTCCAAGGTGTTGAGAGCCATAGTGACAGTCAAGAAAAAGAATTCGGAGGCGCAGGGTGGTTGGTGACTGGGGTAAATGGTCCTTTTCCCATCTAGGCCACCATTTCCACCCTGTATCGTGACATGACTGGTTGCCTGATTGAGTTACGGAGCCTTTCACTTCTAGGTTCCAGGTTGAAATCTGGCAGTGCTCAGTACCAACCACGTGGTAGTCTTGTGTGGACTTGGTTGATTGGATTTCTTTACATAGATCCCTAGAATGTGCACTTCACAGGACAGGGCCTGTGACTTTCTTTGTCTGAAAAGCACCAGGAACACCTATGCCACTGCAGAAGTCATGTTTTATCTTTCCTATGTAAAAAGTGCATTTACAATCAGCCTCTAGAAGAGTCCACACTAAATAACAACCAACATTAATGCTATCCATCAGCATAAGCGCCGACTTCCACTGTTCCTGGTGGGTGCTCGACCCCACCCCTGGCCCCGCCCTCGCCCCGCCCCCATTCCAACCTTTCCCCAAAGTCCCCCCCCGCCCCCATTCCTCCCGGAAAGTCCCGGGAAGCGCTGGGAGGTAGGTGGAGGAATGGGGATGTGGCGTGCTCAGGGTGGGGGAGGAGGAGAGGTGGGGTGGGGGGTGAGGGGAGTTTGGCTGCCGGTGGGTGCAGAGCACCCACTAATTTTTCCCTGTGGGTGTTCCAGCCCCGGAGCACCCATGGAGTCAGCACCTATGTCCATCAGCCTAACCACATATCGCCCTGGTCCCTCTGAGAATGCCTGAGCAAACAGCTTAGGCCTTGCAGCATGTTCTCCTCTGCAGTGGAGGAAGTGAATTCTAGGGCTGAGTGCTCCCAGTTAGTCCAATCTGAGGGGCTTCTAGTGCGTGTGGCTCCAGGGGATAATCTGAAAGTACAGAGAGAGGCTGCCTCTAAGGACCTGTTTACAGCACAACTATAATCATTTTTGTAACCAGCTCATGAATCTCTCTTCTGTCCTGGTTACAATAAACAGGGCTGAGTTGTATAAAGAGCTGCTGTGTGGACTCACCTGCTGTGCTACCTCGCCATGTCAGTGCAGTCCTGAAAGTCAGAGCTGCTCTCCCATAGGGCCTCGCGATGGGGAGAGTACCTGGAGAACACACACAGAGTGGCACCAGCAGCTCAGGTGGCATCGCAGAATGCATTGCCCTCTTGCAGAATGGAAAAGGAAGGAGGACCAGCCGTGCAGGTTACACTGTCATGATTTTAGCAGGTCTGCGCTGCAGAAAGCCTGTGGACTGGGTTATAGGAAGAAAATTATGTTTCTGGCGGCAAGGCCAATGCCTCCCTGAGTAGTGATTGTGTTGTGCACAGACACAAGCCGTGTTTCAAGCTGGCCATGTCACTAATTGGTTACCCACTGAGTTTAAAGTTGTAGTGTAGACAGGCCCTAAATCATAAAGGTCTTTATAGAGTAAAACCATCCCCCCAGATTGCACCAGCAGTGAATGTGGGGCCAGTCAGATCCCAGAGCACAGGTGTGTGACATTCCCTGTAAGAAGCACCACTCCAAGGGTTGCTCCTTTTTCTCTAGCTGGAGTTTCCGAGAGCCTGGGCATGCTCCCATGTAGATCATATTGCTGTAACTGGGGCAAGGTCTTGTATCCAGCAGAAACCTTGCAACCTCCTTGCTGTATGAAAGAGGCTGTAGCTAGAGATAACCCCAGTGATATAGCCCAGCTAGAGTGTGTCTTGGAGACTGCTGTGTTCCAAGTGCTCACATCCACACCGCTGAAAGCACCATCCCACTTGGCACAGATCACTCCCTTTGGTTAGTCTCAGCAGAGAGCACAAAGCATTGGGTGAGTCATGCTCCTCCCTGTCCAACTCAGATGAGACCCGGGGCAGGAGACGCTTGCGCTGCTGTTGTTTGTGCTGTACCGTTAGTCTCCAGGACTGTCAGGCTGATGCCTTCAAGAGCAGTGAATTTGACTAAAACACTTGTAGAGGGGGAAAAAACCATCTCTCCAATGCCCCTGTGACCAGCAGGCTTTCCCAGTGTGGGGCTGGGGCTGGGGCTGGGGCTGGGTTTGCCCTGCTGAGGGCCTGCCCAGCAGCATGCTGTATGGCTGGATTTTGTAATGGAATGACAGACTCTGAATGCTCCCACTCACCAGGTGACAGTAAACCAACAAGTCATGGCAGTCTGGCCCCGACGGGCTAGCGAGCCCTGTAGTCAGGAGCCAACCCTGGAGCACACTGCATCTAAAGTGATCAGCAAGAGCATCCCAGTCGGGCTGGAGTTTGAGGGGAGGCAGGTCTCTAAGGTAGCCTGCTCTCAAGCCAGATAGGTCTTGAAACCAGCACCGGGATAGTAAGTGGGACCGTGTGGTCTGTGAGCACTGCTGACATGCTCCTGGTTGATGTGAGCCTCTGAATTCTGCACTAGCTGAAGTTTCCAAGTTTTCTTCAGGTTAGATGATTGATGGGAACTCCAGGGTAGTTAGCTGGCCCAGCGCAGCTCATGCTGTGCACCCACCTGGTGGCGGTTGCGGGGTTTGGGTTTCTGTATGGCGGGGGTGCTGCACAGAACTAGGGGTGACGGGTGTTCTGTTTAAAAGAGAAAAGCCCAGAGGATAATTCAGCTTCCAACCTCACCACCTAGGCAGCTACCCACTCCCTTTCAGTGCCACATTGTTCACACCAAGGAGCAGTGTGGAGCTGAGCAGAAGAGGCGCAGAGAGCTGGGTTTGACACACTTTATCCCCACCTTTCCAGAAGCATGTGGAATGTTGATAGTACTGCTATCCTAAGCCCCAGGAGCTGGCACCAGAGTGTCTGGCATCTGAGCAGAGCATCAAGTGCCACAAGTGATACACAGGTGCAGTGTCCCAGACTAAGACCTGGGTAGCCCCCTTCTCTTGCCTACCTAGCCCCTCCGCTTCACAATCAGACTCTGAATTGCAGAGCTGATGGGCATCTCCTAACTGGACCAGAATCCTGTGATTGTCTAACTCTGTGTTTGATCTGAACAGATACACAGCCACAGCAGAACAACAATCCATTTGGACGCTACTGAGCCATGGCACTTGGGCCCGATCCAGAGGGAGACATCACTGTGGACTGGATACAGCCTCCCCCAGTGGGGGCTGTTCCCAACCCTCTGTCCCTGGGGCACCTGCCCAGGCGCCGTGTTCTGCAGCTGCCCTCCTTGGAGGGAGGGAGTAATTTTTATCATACAGAGAAAATGTTTTTACTCCGGTTTCTACAAAGGTTTATGGAGATCCCGTGTGATTGGTAGTCTCCCCTCCCCCTTTGGTTTCAGTTTTTACTAAGTTTTTAGTATTTTTGTTAAAATAATGATTAAGACATTGTAAGATTTTGTACTTTATTTATACCAGATGAAACCCTGTATTGCAGACGTCCTCAAACAAATACAGAGAGCTTACTTTGCGAAAGGGGTGTGTGTGTGTGTGTGCGCGCGTGCACATGTGCGTGTTCAGAGTCTGAGCCCCATGACCCTAGCATGCTCCCTCTCCCGATTCCCCTGCATTCCCACAGATCTTGCCCTGAACTACTCCCATACAGGGCCCAGTGAGCTATACACACCAAATCTCAAGAACTATTGTCTGCACCTTTCCTGCTCCTAAATAAGTACATTGTTCAGCCTCACCAGGTTGCTCATCTCTTGCTTGCCTGTTTTGCCCAAGTTGTTCTCTCCCTGTGTTCACTAGTTGGGAGGAGGGTTTGGATAGTGATTCAGAGCTTCCCTTTAAGCAGCAGTGCCTTGTTACCGATCCACAGAGAACAAATGGTCCCTGCACACTTCCACTGGTGGGATCAAGATGCCTGCACATCCAGGGTCCCGAACCTGCTAGGGTTTGTCCTGGTGAGGATAAAAGGTGTCTAGGAAGGAGGTGAGGTGTGGCAGCTAACACATTCTAGACCTCATGTAGACTTTCAAGATAGATTCTAAGGCCAGAAGGAACTGTGGTCAGATGTTTGGCTGTGTGTGTGTGTTCTTCCTGTGTGCTGCCTCAGCTCTGCGCAGACAGATAGCACAGCAGACCTTGAGCGAACCACCCAATGACCACAAGATCTGTTAAGGTACAAAGGCACCAGGCCAGGTTTATTGTCGACAAAGTACAGTATTAGCACCTGGCAGACTAAGACACGTATGCCCGTGACAATGGACGCAATTCAGTGAATGGTGGGACTTTTCATTCCCCCCCTCAGCTGACAAAGATACTCTCTCTGAGATACATCTTTATACCCTGATACAAACAAGTTACGTACTGCCTCTGACATAGTTAGTCACTGCCTCCTGACGTGGCTAATTACCACCTTGTACATGTTGGTTCAATCAAAACATCTCTATTACGTACTGTCATTCTGAGCTTCTCTTTTAGGAGGGGTCAGTGTGTTCCTGTTGTTCTTGGGATCCTTGACATCGGGATGTTCTGGTACCACTTAATATCGGGATGTGTTTGTGTGAGTACTCTGTGATTAGCACTTCTTAGGAATGTGTATTTCTGCAATATCAGCCCTGTTCTTGCCAGATTCTGTGAGCAGGTCCTGTCTCATATGAGGCCTCTGATACAAGGGCTTATGTCTCAGGCTCTCTTCCTACTACATGGACCATCGTGATAATCTAATATGACCTCCTACATAGCACAGGCCATAGAACTGCCCCAGGATAATTCCGAGAGCAGAGCTTTTAGAAAACATCCAACCTTGATTTAAACATTGCCTGTGATGGAGAATCCATTATGACCCTCAGTAAGCTGTTCCAATGGTTAATTACTCCCTCTGTTAACAAATTACACCCTATTTCCAGTCTGAATTTACCTAGCTTCATCTTCCAGTCATTGGATCATGTCATACCTTTGTCTGATTGAAGAGCCCATTGTTAAATATTTGTTCCCCAGGTAGGTACTTATAGACTGTAATCAAGTCACCCCTTAACCTTCTCTTTGTTATGCTAAATAGGTTGAACTGCTGGGGTATGTCACTATAAGGCATGTTTTCTAATCCTTTAGTCATTCTTGTGACTCATCTCTGAGCCCTTTCCAATTTATCAACATCCTCTTGAATTGTGAGCACCAGACGTGGACATGATATTCCAGTAGTGGTTGCAGCAGTGCCAAATACAGAGATAAGATAACCTCTCTACTCCTACTTGAGCTTCCCTGTTTCTTCGAGTGATTGCTCATGTCCATTCCAATAGTGTGCGCGCGCCGCGTGCACAGTCATCAGGAGGTTTTTCCCCCAGTGGTACCCGTCGGGTCGGCTGTGGAGACCCCTGGAGTGGCGCCTTTATGGCAGTGTATATAGGTCCCTGCCGACTCGCCGCCTGCTCAGTTCCTTCTTGCCGCCAGTGACGGTCTATGGAGCAGCTCAGTCTCTTGCATTCGCAAGTGCCTACCTAGTGGTTTCCTTTTCCTAGTTGTACATACTTGTTAGTTCATTATATATTAGTTTCTAGATTAGTTGGGCTTACTTTGGGGGGCTTTCCCCCGGCCCTAGTTTCCCCAGGCACCGGGGCATGCCTCGGTCGCAGGGGTTTAAGGCGTGCAAGAGGTGTGTGAAACCTATGCCCACAAGTGATCCGCACACTGCCTGTCTCAAGTGCTTAGGAGAGGGCCATCGAACAGATAAATGCCCAATTTGCAGGAGCTTCAGACCCAGGATTAAGAGAGAGCGGGACTATTGTTTGAACCTTCTCCTGATGGAGTCGGCCCTCCGCCCACAGCCGGCACTGGAAGCGGCACTGGCATCATCGGTGCGCAGCGCCCCGGCCTCGGCGCGGGATGTCCCGGCACTGAGGAAGGACTCCTCCAAGGACCACCGGTGCCGCTCCCCGGCTCATAAGGCCAGTGCTACCAGGAGGCACCACTCACAGTCCCTGGTGCCGCATAAGAAAAAGAAGGCGGACAGGGGTCGTTCCCACATCAAGAAGCCGCGAGGGGACTCCAGCGGGGTGCGTCCCGTGGCGGGACACCCACGGTCTGGGCCTCAAGACCCGGCACCGTTGATTCCAGCCCCAACGGGAGGCCCATCGAGTCCAGTGCTGATAGACTCCCCGACTCGGGAGGATCTGGAGGAAGAGCTCGACCTTCCCTCCACGCCAGACACCCACAAGGCAGTGCAAGACCTCACTGCCATGATGGCGCAGTCCCAGCCACACAGGGGCGGGCCCCGGCACCGTTAGCGGCACCGGCTTCAACGTCTAGCCCAGCACTGCATGTGGCTCTGGCACCCTTTGCGGCACCGATGGCTGCACCGCCTCTGGTTCATCATCGTGGCAAGCCTATAATGTTACGGTGCCGCTCGCCATCTCCCCAGCACCGTCCGACTCTGCCCCCCCGTGGTTGGGCACAGACTGCTCGTCCGAGTCAGACACTGAGTCTTCTGTCTCTCAATGCAGCCACTTCCGCTCCCAGCACCGCAGACCAGTGGAATCCTCGGCACCGGCGGTTACCTGGCCACCCCAGTGGCAGGGCCCAGTCTAATGGCCCTTTTGGATTCCCTGGGCCTACCCCCAGGCTCAGGGCTCCAAGCTGGCATTGGTGGCATCTGCACCCCGTGCCCCCACCCCCCAGCAACATTGCTGGCTCGCCACACCCCCAGGGCTCCTGAGGATCCCGCACAAGACAGGGACTCTGGGCTGTCCTGCTCAGGCGCAGCACCCGAACCAGCACCATCAGTGACACTAGAGCCACCTCCAGTCACGAGAGGCTCCAAGGTACCTGACCCGGCCTGCAGAGAGCCAGAAGGGCAGGAAGACCCTGTCCCATGGGCCTCGCCAGACGAGGCGGTGGCAGGCACCACCACCACCCTACCGGTGATGGACACCAGGACCTCCTTAGGAGGATGGCCCTTAACCTCAATCTCCAGGCAGAGGAGGTCATGGAGGAGTCTGACTCGATGGTCGACATCCTTGCCCCTGAGGGTCCTTCTAGGGTGGCCTTGCCCCTCATAAGAATGATCCAAAACACCACTAAGGTGCTCTGACAGACCCCGGCCTCGATACCACCCACCGCTAAAGGGGTGGAAAGCCGATATTTCTTGCCGCAGAAAGGGTACGAACACTTTTTCACCCACCTCCAACCGGGGACTCTGGTGGTCAATGCAGCAAACAACAAAGAGCAGCAAGGACAGCTGGGTCCTGCACCTAAGTCATGGGACGCTAAGAAGCTGGACCTTTTCGGCCGGAAGGTCTACTCAACTGGGAGGCTCCAGCTTCGAGTGGCAAAATTCCAGGAGTTATTCCTGGCTGACTCGTGCAAGGACTTTAGCGCACTCTTTGAGGAGGGCAGGGTGGTCTCCAGAACCTCCCTCCAGGCCGTGTTAGACGCGGCGGACTCGGCAGCGCGGACCATGGCCACCGCCATTACAATGAGGCGCAGTGTGTGGCTCCAGGTCTCAGGGATACCACCTGAGGTCCAGAACACAATACAGGACCTCCCCTTTGACTGTGTGGGCCTGTTCGCCCAAAATATGGACTCTCGCCTGCACAGCCTTAAGGACTCGTGGGCAACTTTGAAGTCTTTGGGGATCTACACCCCTGCACCTCAAAGAAAGCCTTTTAAGCCTCAGGACCCGTCCCGCTTCTACTCTGGGCTCCTAGGTGAGACTCGTCAAGGAGATGGGGCAGAAATAATAGGAGGCGCCCGCCACAGTCCTCAGGCCAAGGCCAGGGTTCGGCCAAACAGCCCCCGGACCCGAAGCCAAACTTTTGAAGATGCGCCCGAGGACGGAGCATCAGTTTCAGTCTCGGATCCTTACTCCTCTTTGTGAATCCAATTCTGTTCCCTCTCACCCCTCTTCCCCATCCCTCTTCAGGGACCCTTCTCACGAGCAACTCCTCTTGCAGGAGGTGCAATTGCTCCTCGCTCTAGGGGCAATAGAGGAGGTTCCTCAGGAGTTCAGGGGCAAGGGGTTCTACGCCCGCTATTTCCTCATCCCAAAGACCAAATAATTGGTCTGGACTTTATTCTGCTTGCACAGTATAGATGTGATCAAAATATGATCACTTGTACCTATGCTACCATTAAATTTTAGTTCTGTGATCTTTATCTGTTAGGACAAGGTCTAATATAGAATTCCCCCCTGTTGGCTGCAAAAGTTTTTGAATTAGGAAATTGTCATTGATAATGTTTAGAAATTCCAAGGGTCTTTTTAGTCCTGGTGTCATGAGACCTCCAGCATACGTCACTCACATTGAAGTCCCCCATGATCACACAAGTTTTTTCCCCTGCACATTATAGATAGATGCATTTAGGAGTTGGTCATTCTGTTCCCTACTGTGATTTGATGGTCTGTAGCAGACACCAACTAATACCCCATCTTGAGCTATAGCTGTTAAGCATTCAAGATCACTTTCTTTATGTCCTATCAGTGACTCGGAAGCAGGTAATGCCATTTCTGACATAGAGTGCCATTCCCCTTCT